TATAATAATAATAATAATAATAATAATATTTTCAATCTAGTATAGTACATTTTATTGTACTATTCCTTTAATATTTTTCATTGATATTTTTCCTTTATTCTGGATTTTTATTTCGCGTTGTATTTTTCTTTTTTCGCGATATCATTATCTCATTCTCGAAGATATTATTATTATTATTATTATTTTTTTTTTTACAAAGAAAGATATTGGGTGGAGTTTGGGTGGCGAGGAGAGTAGAAGTGTGACGAGAGATTGAAATTTATGATCACAGGCGCGTGTGTTCACCTTCCAAAAAAAAAAAAAAAAAAACTCGTCGCGAGATAATCGTCAAAGGCGTCCTCCAACCAATCGATTGGGGTGAGGTGTGGAGGTAGTATCTTCTTAAAACGAACAAACAACAAAAATCTGTTTGGATTCATCAATATTGGTTTCCTCTTTCTCTTGCTAAGCCCCTACCCCTGCCGCCTACTCCACTCCCATCCTCAAAACCATCACTCGTTTCGATGAATTTTTTCGATGTTTTCTAAAAAAAAGAATAAACTACTTTCGAATTGCGGTCTATAAATGACCTTGAAATCTCGATCGATTGCATTAAATCTATTAGGCTGTATAACCTCTCATCTGTTGACCATGAGAAGTAACGGTGAATTAAACTGTCGTTTAAGTTGTTGCCACGTGCCACTTACAACTTCCAGAGCAATATTTTTGTTATCAAAACAATTAACCATTATACATATATATATATATTAATAATATTAAATAAATTAATAAAAATTAATAATATTATATTATTTATATAATAATATTATATAATATATATAATTATAATATTATATATTATAGATATAAAATTATATGTATAATAATATATATTATATATATAATATTATAATATAATATATTATAATAATAATTTTATATATTATATAATTATATATTATATATATATATATAGATATACAACATACGTAAGTAAAACATAAACTATTTAAGAGAAGAAATATTTGAAACTTTGTTTAACAAGCAACTGAAAAATTTGATCTTTAGGATTACGATCTCAAACGAAATCTACATTTTTATATATATATATATATATATATATATATATATTAAGAATAAATATTGAAATAGTATTGGAATATGCATATCTCTTTAAAAAATCGTTCATATAGTTTTACGTCGTGTACAATTCGATCATGCTCCCATGATTTCATGGCCGGCGTATCAACGAAAGGCCAATGATTGATCATTCCAGATTTACGGTAGTTAACTACGCTCATCTTTAAAAGATACACATTTTTCCTTCTATCGATTACTTAATTCACCGTGATGGTATTTAACCCGACAGTAATAAGTATGTTCACGTCCTTTCGTCGTTATAAGTTCATCCTATCACTATATTCATAACGGTATCACCTATCGATTAGCAAGCGTATTATAAAACTCATCTTGTATGTATATAGTCAAGTTTTCCCGTTGACCCTTGAGAATTATTTTCTTCATCTAATCGTGATTGAACGTGAATGAGAATAATGAGCGTCAAATGGAAATGAAAATCGAAAGGAAAAAAAAAATACAAAAGAAAAAGAAAATTAATTTATTTAATATAATAATATAACAAAAATATATATATATATTTAATTAAATAATGCATATCTTAGTAATACATAGAAGAATCGTAACATTGATGATCGAGTTGTTGAAAAAGTCCTAATAAAAAGAACGAAACGTTTAACAGGATCAAAACAATATATTCTAATTTTTCTTCTACCTGTTCAACTTCCCTATCATACAAACTTTTGTTACATATTTTATTTATTATGAAAATAATTATAGTATTTTAACCCGACATATATATTTGAAGTATATTTTTGTCTTCTAACGCACGACCTTGTGTCTTTCATAAAACATGAATTCTCTTTTTATAGGTTAGGGTATCTCATCGGTTCTTTAGTTTGGTTTCCCCTACTCTTTCTCGTTTTCACTACTGTGTCAGTGGAACGACCCGAGGCAAACCACTTTTTAAATCGGCTCGAACTCTTCTGCCTCGGCAACCGGATCGCATTTGCACAACGTCTGGCTGTGCAGACCTGTTCGAGGTAATAGTAGTAGTAGTAATAGTAGTAGTAGTAGTGTAGTAGGGGAAACAACCCAATGGCTAACTCCGACCTCCCGTTCTTTCTCTTATTACGATCTTCGTCGATTTTATACCGGAAGAATGGAAACCATGGGAGAGAAAGAAAGATCGAGAGAGAAAAAAGAAAAATAAAAAAGATTTATTTTGACCTTCTATCTCTGTCACTCCAACACGCAGTCTCAAAATCTGCAGATTTCTAATCGTCTGTTGTGTGTGTTTTTTTAATTGTCTTTTATTATTTCATGTGTTATTATATTATTTATTATATTATCTATTACATTATGATCATTTTAATTTTTTATTTTATTTTATTATAATTATATTTTATTTATTATATTATTACAATTTTAATTTTACTTGAATTATATTATATTATTTATTACATTATTATATTATATTTATATACCTTCATTATTATATTATTAATTTTAATTAGATATATTTACATAGGTAGAGAGAATGTTATCAAGTAACGTTGTAGACATAATAAAATTTCTCTTTTTCTCTTTCTCTCTCTCTCTCTCTCTCTCTCTCTCTCTGCATCTTCCTGAAGATCTGAAAACTAGGGCAACGTGTCGAGCGAGCGGTCGTATACGCCCCCGTACTTTGGTACGCATAGATCGTGTTTACGAAGAGAAGGGTAGTGGGGGTGGCCCGCGGCATTGCCTTTAACTCGGCCGATGCATGAATGAAGAAGGTTTTGCACCGGTGGTAATGGTGGTGGTTGTGGTGGTGGTGGTGGTGGTAAGAAACACAACACCCCCGCAATTTTGCTCAGAAGAGTCCTTTTTTTTTTATTTTGTTCTCTTTTTTTCCATCCCTTTCTTCGTGTATTTTTCTCCTTGGATTTTATCAGAATGTTACTCTATACTGGTTACTTCCCACGTACAAACGACAGTTTCCGGTTTTTCGAACGCCATCGTTGTTAGCGTAGACGATTATGCGGCTTTTGCATAAATCCACTAGAAACTCGCAAACAGGGAAGAAGGAAGATCGATCGATCGACGCAATGTTACACGTTGGACTCGAGGAAACGTTATAGTAAACTCTCGTAATTGCTTCAAATAAATTCTCTTTGATAAAAAGGAGTGGAAGTTTATTTAAAAAAAAAAAAGAACATTTATTTTTCCGAATTATTGTTTTCTTTTTATTTCCTCCTTTTTTCTCTTTTTTTTTTTATTCATTTTTATTTTCATTCATTTATAAATAAACACCTTTTTTGTTTCATTTATTTCACGTATGAAGAAATGATCATATATAATAAAATTTGGATATTTCTAAACGATAGAACGAGAGAGAGAGAGAGAGAGGGGAAGAAAAGGTTTACGCAGTTATTATGAATCGTCGTTAAGGGTCGATAGTCGTGTGGGTATCACGTGCGAGAGTAAGTTGGACGACAAAAAAAAAACAAAATGAAAAAAATGACAAGAGGAAACGCGCGCGGTTTTCGATAGTCGTCGTCGTCGTCGTCTCTCTTTATAATCGCTTCATCGATAATTCAAAAGCCGTGGTCGGTAAGAAAATGCCCGCGCCAGTGGACGTCGAAGAGGACCAGAATATTCTCAAAGCGAGCGGAGGAGTAGGAGAGAGAGAGAGAGAGAGTGAGTGAGTGAGTGAGTGAGAGGAAGAAGGAATCGTCTTTCTCTCTCTCTCTCTCTCTTTGTGTGACTCGGTCGGTCGGTCGGTCGGTGGGCCGCGTGCCGGTACTAGGTCGCAAACTAGGGGCGAGAAGGGGTTGGTGGCGGGCGGTGGGTGGCGTGCTGACGTCACCGTAACGGCATCATCGTTCGCGTGGGCCAATGAGGAATCTTGGCTTTGCCAGGCCAGGCCAGGTCCATCGATCCGTTGGCGGCCGCGTGTGCCCCGGGTTATGACGTCCGCGATAGAATAATGACGTCACCGTTAGCGCCGTTCTCCAAGAAACCCCACTACCTCCACCCTCGTCGTGTAGTTGCGTTCTTGTCTCTACCACCACCACCATCACCATCACCACCACCGTCAGCATCATAGCAATAACGGTAGAAGTGCATACCACGCTAGAAGTAGCAGCACCAGCACCACCACCACCCAACCAACCAACCAACCACCACCACCACCACCACCACCACCACCTTCGCTACCGTCACCGCCATCGTTCTACACGCGGCTACGCTTTTAATATAGCGGCGGAACGCGCGCGATCCGGACTCAGTTACGCGCCTGCCGGCCAGCCGTGCGAGTGTACTTTTAATACTACAACACAACTACTTTACTCATTTACTTTCTTCTTTCTTATTCGAAAAAAAAACGCGCACCGGTGTCAAGCATTTATTGCCGTGTTTTACTACCTTTCTTTTCAATACGACATAACGATACACATATTCGCTCGCGTTATCTACATTTCTTTTAACTTTTTTCAAATAAGTATAATCATCAATTAGAAATAATAATAATAATTAACGTGAGAGCTTTCGTCGATTTAAAATAACACTTATTTTTGTCGAGAATAGAGAACACCACCGTGATTTTATTTTACTTCTTCCTATGGTGATATCGATCGTGTATCTCGAGATCGCGGGAAACGTTAACTCTTGTTCTCGTCAAGGCAATTGATAGAGACAACAAAAATACAGAAGAAGAAAAAGAAGAAGATAGAAAATAGACAAAATTAAAGAGACAAAGAAGAGGAAGTAGGAAAAAAAGAAGGAATCTTATCCAATAATAATAATAATAATAATAAGGATATAAAAAAAGAATAGTATATTAAACGAGCGTGACAATGTCGTCAATTGTGAGAGAGGAACGATAAAACGGAGACGACAATTTGAAGGGTGGCTGCATGCGAGTGCCCAGGTCCGAGATCTTCGGGTTCCTCGGTGGAACGCTGACCTCCAACGACATCGTCTGGAAAGATTCATCTTGCGCTACGACGACGCACGCAGGTCGGTGATAGTTAACAGAACAAAGTATCATCATCATCATCATCATCATCATCATCATCATCATCATACTTTTACCCCTGCCCCCATTGACACACCCCTTGGTTCCAAAAGAAAAATCTTTAAATGAAACAAACAGACAGGATTTGATCACTTTGTTGTGTTTTTATGTTAGAAACGTTTGAATGGCTTTATCGTGTGCGTGCGTGCGTGCGTGCGCGTTGTCGTCCGTGTGTTTCCACCTTCCGCCACCCTCTCTGTCGAGTGTTACCTTTGGCACGCGTCGTTTTCATCGTACGATGTTTAAACTATCTCTAAAATCAAAATAAGAGAGAGAGAGAAAGAGAGAGAGAGAGATAGAGTGGAAGGCAAATCGTTAGTTAAAATAGATTTGTCTACGCGTATATACGACGACACTTTTTAACTGTTCACATCATCCATTTACGACTACGCGCGATTTTGATAACGAGGGATAAAAAGAAGAAGTTAATATAGCGCACCGTGCGTACCCTAAACAACATTAGACACTTTCGTTTTACATATGTATATATATATATATATATACATATTTTTTTTTTTCCAATTAACTTTCTCGCGTTTAGTCGAGTTTTTTTTTTAAGAAAGGGGAGAGGACGGGAAGAAGTATAAGTACGTGAAAACTTTCTCCTCCTTCAGCTAACAAGTACATTTTCTCGTTCGTTGTGTTCCTTCTCGGTCAGATTCGTTCGTTCGTGCGTTCGTGCGTTCGTGCGTTCGTGCGTGCGTGCGGGTGTGTTTCGTAATAATTTTGAACAGGATTTATTCCTCGTGGTAGCACGTGTTTCCTACTCGGCACGCGCGCATCTAAACTATACGCGCGTGTGTGTGTGTTAGAGCACGTGCTCGAGTTTGATGAGATGAGACTCGTGTCTGTTGTTACTGCTGTCATAGTAAACTGTCATAAGATATCGATGTATCGTCAGCCGGTTTGTGAAACCGGTGAATTCGATCGGTGAATGAAAGATCGTGAAAATATCGTAGTACGGGGGCGATGCGTACCGTAACCGAGGATACAACAGGGACCGAAGGAACGGCACCAGGTGGTGGTGGTGGGGGATCGGCAGCTACGATTCATCAACGTCTCGTCGTTCCACCTATTATTGGCCGGCAACACCACGTCGTCGTCGTCGATCACGATCACGATCACGATCACATTGATAACGAACAACGTGAAAGATCAACGACGACGACGACGACAACGACGACGGCCATCATCACTGCTACCACGACGACGACTACTACGACGACGATCCATTTGCCTACGAGCGTACCTTACCATCAACAGGTCACCATCGTTGCGGACACCAACAACAATCACGACCATCATCGCAACCTCGAGCAACATCATCGTCATGATCATTGGAACAAGTGTAAGTTCTTCAGCAACCCAGCGCATATATAAACAAAAAATGTGTGAGACCAAACCATTTTGCTGGCCGAGCTTCTCGATTAAAACCAAAAAATATACAAAATCAAAATAGAAAAATATCTATTTTGTATTATGGTCGCTGATGGTGGTTGGGTCCCAGGTGATGATTACGCTTATGGTGATGGTGATGGCTGGTGATGGTGATGGTAATCGCTATTTTAACTCTTGTCGATCGTCCTCCAACGAAGAAACACAAAGGATCGGACGATCGAATTCAACGAACCAAAAAGAAATAATTTTGACGAAATCTTTGATCTCTTTTTCAGCTTTCCTTGTATTTTTTTATTCCTTTTTTTTTATTTTTTTTTTATTTACGACACCTTTTTTTTCTCTCATACTTTTTCTAGTTATTACCAAAACGTACCTTCCTTTAGAAAGGATAACGCGACCACGAGCGTGTCCTTGTCGTACGATTAAGTTTGTGGTTTCAAAAAAAAAAAAAAGAACACCGTTACAAAATTTGGATAACTTTTTTTTTTTCTTTTACTAAAAAGTATGAAAGTAATTTAAGTACGATAATAATTTAATCGATTATTACAAAATAATACTATCTTTTGATAAACAGTTAAAGTTTCGTGAAACTTTAGATACATGTAGCTATGTTTTCCCGTGTAATTCATTGAAAAATTTACAACCATGACATATTCGATAGTTTCGATTTATCGTAAGAGTACATTACATATATATATATATATATATATATATATATTATAGCTCAATAACGTTCGTTTATTATATTCTCAAACGATAATAAACTCGATTTATACAGTTGGTCGCGTGCCGTGCTAAATCAACGGAATCTCGTTTACGTATCATCCATCCAATCGTATAAAGAAAACGAGATCTGATTTATAGGTTAGGAACAAATTGTATTGAATTGTTCGAATAGTTCGTACCGATTATCGATAGGTAGCACAAAGTTCTTTTGTTTAAAAAAATCTGAGAAGTTTTGGAAGAACGAAATTTTGAAGTTACCCTTAAAGATGATAAAAGGTTGTAAAACGGAATGGCACTTATATATAATTTAATAAATGTACCTGTTCATCAAAAAAAAAAACTAAAATGCGTTGCATTTCAATCTTCTGTCAAAATCGGCACAAACTTTCCGGACAAGCCAACATAGAAAAAATCGATCGATCTCTTAGAGTATCATCATCCGTGTTTCGTGAATAATAATTTGAATCTTTTCAAGATGATTATTATTCTTTTGTATCATTTATCTATCATTTTAAACGAAAGACAACGACGATCGAAAGTGTTAAGTCTTTACAGGTGTAAACCGGCACGTTAAGGTAAATATAGTCTGGCAGTGGGCCGAGCTTGCGGACGTTTCTTTTCCGCGTACATACTTGGCCTGCACGAGACCCGTGTAGAGAGAAAGAGAAAGAGAGAAAGAAAGAGAAAGAGAGAGAAAGAAAGAAGAGAATACAAACTACAAATATAAAACTAATTTAAAACGAGTGCAGGTGCGGTCACCGGTTCTGCCGCATTATTGTCGCACAAAGTTGTAACAACCACCGATTAAGAACCCGATTAAGAATCAAGAACTAAACGGATTATCCTTTTACTTGACAAGAGATAAAGAGAGAGAGAGAGAGTAACGACCATGACAATGGTAAATCAACGGTTATTACTTCCGTGGATTATTAAATGCAGTCGTGCATTTACAGTAATACCGTTAAGTAGGCGCTGCCATAACATATCGATACTCGATACTACCTAACCTAAGTTTCTTTTTCTTTTCTCTTCTCATTTCTCATTTTGTCTTTCAATCGCGTGGGTTGGACGGATTGTTCAGATATTACGATATATCTTGATCTAAGACAGAAAGAAAGAAAGAAAGAAAGAAAGAAAGAGAGAAAGAGAGAAAGAGAGAGAGAAAGGCTTACTTACGGTGATCATTTTGACCTCGTATACGTGCGGATTAATTACTTCAACATGCTTTCAAAAGAGAGAGAGAGAGAAAGAGAGAGAGAGAGAGAGAGAGAGATCATTGTTTCTACCATTGTCCATGTCTAATGTAAAAAATCATGGTTCATGTTTTATTCGTCGAATAAATACAAATCTCGCATATCGATTAATTTATAAATATACTTACATACATTTAGTATGACAATGAGGGGAGGGGGGAGGGGGGTAGGTAAAACGAATCGTTGAATAAAGAAGTAGTTCAACTCGATCAGATCTCAGACCTCGGACATTGAGAATTAAGAGAGAGAGAGAGAAAAAAAAGTAAGATTCATCTTGCGTCTGATTTTATATTGCACTCGACTACTTTTCTTAGATTACTCGTAATTTGAAACTTTCGATTCGAATATTATGTTGTTTTATTTTTTTTTTTGGTTTTATTTATTATTGTTTAAAAAAAGTATCATTGAGATTAGATTTTTCGACAATGGTATTTATATTCATTTGTCATATCGAAGGTTAACAACAAGAACAACAACAATAATAAGAACCGTAAAGATTTACCGTACGTAAATGTTCTTGATCAGAAGAGAACATTCTGCATCCGGGAGTGAGTAGTGTGAGTCGGTATCTAAACGATGCAGTTACTCGACGAATCCTTCGTCCCTTGACTTGTCAAGGCTAACTCCATAAGCGTACACGGTGTGTATGTTCATAAATTAAATATCTTTATTAGATGTCTATACTTGTGTGTGTATGCCACAAGGAAGAGAGTGTTACTAATACAATGATAACAACAACTGGTGGCTGCTGTATCTTGTCTCTCCTTTCTCTTAGATGCCAATGAACAGATCGTTAAATAATTATATATCTCATCTATTTCTCAATCTGTCAATTCTAATTATTATTGCTAAGAAATATATATATATATATAGCTTGCAAGCTTTTTTCTTTTCTTAATAAATAATAATTCTTACAAAAAATAATTATATATATATATATAATTATATTATAATATATATAATATTGTATATAATTTATATATTTATATAATAAATTAAATATATAATATGTATATAAAATAATATATATATTAAATAATAATATATATATNTATATAATATGTATATAAAATAATATATATATTAAATAATAATATATATATATATTTTATATAATTTTGTAATTTATTTTATTATTTTTTTATTTAACATTTTTGTTATTTAAAATTTAAAATTTTTGAAAATAACTTATTTATCAATTTTATTTAATTTATTAAATAAATATATATAAAAAATATATATATAATATAATATATTAAATTTCGTTATATAATTTGTAATTTATTTTATAAAAATTTCTTATTTAAAATTTAATATTATAAAAATAATTTATTTTTAATATATGTCATTAATTAATTTATAATATAATATATATATATATGTATACATATTTTTTTTTTTATATTATATACCTATATATCTATTTTTCAAATTGATCTTCAAATTCTTCTATTACCAATTTATGACTACCCTTACAAACTTGCATTAAGACAATTCCTAAACGCGTATCCTTTCTTGAATCTAATAAAATTCAATCTGTTCACATTTGTGTGAACAGATTAGAAAACCTAATTGTGTCGTGTGTACGTACGATCGTGATACTTTCTATGAAAAGGGTGAAGAGGAGAGAAGCTAGAAACTTAATATATTGATTGGTGGTGTGTGTGTGTATAATAATGATCATATATATATATATATATATATATATATATATATATATATATATATAGTGATACACGTTAAACGTGGCACCGAAAAGAGTAACAGAAAAAACGAACGAATCCACTGCTTGCTTCCTACTAGAGGCCAATTGCATTGTTTTGCTGGGCAAACTAAATATACGTGCGAGGCAGGCGATCCGTGGCTGCTTGGCTAGGTCACAAAAGAGAATAGGAGAAAGTTTTTCGTGCTAGGAAGAAGAAGAAGAAGAAGAAGAAGAACTGAGAGATCGATCAAGATGAAAGCAAGAGAGAAAGAAAGAGAAACAGATAGAAAAAGAGAGAGAAAGAGAGAGAGAGAGAGAGAGATCGCGTGCACTCACTTCTTACACTTTTCATGTATTCTTCCTTTTATTTTTTTTTTATTTTTTTTTTTTTGTTATAATATCTGAGGTAAGAGTACAGGCCTTTCTATATGCTGTAGAGAATACTGCATGTGAAACTTGTTCAAATTTAACATCGATGAAACACCACATATCATGGTGTCCGTTTGTTCGTAGAGATCCATGTGCTATTTCGAACGGGATTCAAAAAAGAAAAAAAAAAAAAAATTAAACAGAACATATCGGTCAAAAACGTCAGAATGTCAATCGGAAGCATGAATCATCATCCTTTTCGATACTTTCGACGTACCTCGATTACGACGTCCGATAAGCTATTTCGTCATTCCGATAATAGCTACCCGGGTTATCCGTTTCTATATTGATTTTATCACGAAAGAGATCGTCTTCTCATATACATATATACATATACACATATATATATTATATATATTATATATATATTAAATTTATTTTTTTTATATATATTTTATTTTTATATATTATAATGTGATATATATTATTATTATTATATTAATAATATTATATTTAATATTTATTAAATTTATATATTAAAATTATTGTACATAAAAAATATTTTATATATTTAATAGTATTTTATATAATTTATATATAAAATATAAAATATTATATTATAATATTAAATTATACAAAATACTAAAATATTATTATAAAAATTATAATATAAAATATAAAATATTATATTATATTATTAAATTATACAAAATACTAAAATATTATATTATAATATTAAATTATAAAAAATACTAAAATATCATATTATAATATTAAATTATAATAAACTAAAATAATATTATAAAAATTATAATATAAAAAATATATATATATATAATATAATTAATTTAATTTCATTAAAATATATAATATATATAATTATAATATAAAAATATA